AGCATCAAGATCCAAAACAAGCTTGCCAGATTCCAGAGTTCCCAAACAATGGGATGTTTATTTCACAAGACTTAAAAAAGATACACTTTCCCCTTCAAGTGAAATTTTTCTGAATCTTTTGACGACGTGGTATACATGAATATGCAAAGATGGAACGAGTTAATAATATATTATTAACTCGATTCATTTGAAGAAGCCATTAATTAATGAAAAGTACACAAATATACGGTTGAATTTTGATACAAGGATGTCACAATCACTCGCGTCCGTTAGATTTCAAATTGGATAATTGTGAATGTAATCACTCGTGTCTGTCAGCTTTCAAATTGTATAGTTGCAAATATGTCATTAACTAGGCTTAAAGTTCAAAATAAATATCTCTAATTTTGTGTCACACCCCAAGCCATCCAATTTAACATCTAATGGCTAAGCAATTGTGAACTCCTGATAAAAAGTAAACAATCTCATAATATACAATCCCTTAATTACTTGAGAATAATCCAAATGTACAAAGGGCGTTTCCCTTCATTTATCAAATTCATAAGCAGGTTATACACAAAAGTTGCAAGTACCATAAAAAACCTAGTCTTTGATTAAAATATGAAGTTCAATATGTGTAGATAACCATGGAACTCACTGAGGACTTAGACCAGTAAGCCTCTTTTAAGGTGTGTGGTGGTGCAATTTCAGGAAGAGTGTTTCAAGTTTTCAACAATTTAATGTGCCCAAAAAGGAGATTCAGTTGTGATTTGATTGTACTTCAAAATATGATTTTTCTTCTGTCATGGAACAGTCGGTTTTGTGCACACAACTTGGTCCTCATTCAGCAGGGTCCTCAACCTAGGAAAATATAATGACTTCAAAAATTATGTGATCAATAAAGTATGATCGATACATAATTTTCTAAAAAATTATGTGATCAACTAGGACCTTAAGCAACAGGGACATTTTATTTGGAGTATTATTTAGCTTCACTCAAAGCAGGTCTCTTAACCACTGATTGCAACAGAGAGGTTGGTTATAAACATATATAATGGCAAGTCATCCATATTTTGATTTATTTTATGAAGATGTACTCGGCTTCCAAAGAGAGAGCTTAGATTAAAGCTCTTCTGCAGAGCATAAGTTGCACTATCTTCCAGCACTACCCTTCTTTTTTTTCTTCAAATTTCTTTTGGATTGTTCCAATCATGTATTACAAAGAATAGATGAAGACATTGTGCTTGATTATCACATTGTTTCTATGCAATTTATAGCTAGCATGTCACTAATTCACCACTCTTTTGCATATATCTGTGGACAACCATCAGATTTCTTACTAAAACCAACTTCTTCTGCTTGTCATCAATTTTCACCAACGTTCTATTTTGATGAGTGTCGTGAATGGTGACTATCAACATGCTACCAGAGAAAAAGATCAACTTTCCAATTTCATGTGGACTAGTCAAACGACCAGCAGTTGGTATACTGATTAGCACTAGAAATTCCAAAAGGTTATTCTCGTTTTTATGTAGGCGTCCTGAGGTGATTGAGTTCATGGTAGCAGGGATATCCATAAAGCATTTCGGATTCAAGCAATACAACAAACTCCCCTGAACCTATCACACATGAGGTTTTGACTGTATCATATGGCCAGTTGTGATAATAAATTCCAAAACAAAGCTGGGTGTTTATTATTTACATGAAATTTGGAAAGTAAGGCGACCCAGGTGATCGATTTTTTACATTGACATCAGGAAAAACCAAACTACCAAGTCGATAGCTATTCAGAAGTAGGAGGCCATAATCATTGCAAGAAGATGGGACATAGATTTGTTTCCACTATCTAAAAATTTTTGTTGTACGCTTTTCTTTTATGAATTTAACATGATAGTGAAACAAGATAGAGAAAGGGCATTCTTGACTTCTTGTCACATCAGAATATAGTAGACTTCATTTCTAAGAAACAAATCTGTTCTGTTAATTCTGCAAATTATTGAACAAGAAGGTAGATTAGAAGATTGCTTTGTTGTACATGCATGGACATGGGTATCAACCTCGACATAGAATGAGCATACTTTTCAAAGCTAGAACATAAATAGAGAATTAACAAGCAAATTTTGAATGTACAGATATTACAGAAGGAAAGTCATTAATGTGAAATACAGCACATGAATACCCTTAACTCATTTTGTCGTCTTGGAACTCGTTTTGTGGGATCTCTACAATAGGGTACAACTACTACTAGAAAACTAAAAGATTCAAACCATCTAATCCAACTGCCATAATTGCATATTAACGTCTCCAAGCTAGTGCCCATTTTGTGTCCCAGATATGCCTGGGCAGCGTCCAACCATGCCATCAATTGAAATTTTGACCACTCCCAAAATCCATGGGATAGGGCTGCACATCTATGAATGTGCAAAGAAGTCTTTGAGATTTTCAAGAACATGAAAGTCATGGGAAGATGCACAGAATGCATATGTGGGATTGCACTGCAACAGGAGCATGAGTAGACGTTTTACAAAATGAAGCCTCCTTAAAAAGACTAACTTGAAATGATTACAAAATTTAGGCTGGATGCGCCTCTGGCATAAATGCACTCATGTGCAATTAGGGCCCTGTCCAAAATCTGCCTGTCCTGCATCAGTAAGATAACAACTTCAGCACCTACAGAAGGCGAGGCTAGAACTTTAGAGGGCATTTTGTACAAGCTATTGAGAAGGCTATTGGCCTGAAATCCTACAATTTTTCTGACCAGGTTTGGACCAGGGCATTGAAAGTGTAATCTCGCCCTGTGAATAATCCCTCATGCTAAAACTGCAAAGCAAGCAGGAATGTCTGGGGGCTAAAGAGTCCCAGAACGATGACACAGGGCCACCAGGAACCATCTGACCCTGGGGCCTTAGCTGCCCAACTCATTCACTCATCATCATCAAAGCCTTTCCCAACTAATCGGTTGGCTCCGTCCAACTTATCCACTGCTCCATGGATTTTAGCATCATCAGTAAAAGATCTTTCTAGCCATTTGTCCCTTTCCTTAGGCAGAGTAGGAATCGTGGGTCCAGAGAAGTGATGGGCAGAAAACACTCAAAGTAACTGGTAATAACCCTATTCATTTCCCAAGGCCACTCATAGATCTTAGTGCATTGGGTAATGATGTTAGACCTTCTCCGACAATGGGCAATCTTATAAAGTTAAGTCGTGTTCTCGTCTCCTTCTTTATGCCACTTGACCCTAGATCGTTGGAGGTTGGAACCAATAAATCTCGTCTTGCTTAAGAATCTAGTACTTCAGCTTCAGTTCTACCCTCTCAGCCCTTTACTTCAAAGTCAGGCCTCCAGATTCTTCTACCATGTGTAGGATACTGATCTTTCGCAATATGGCCTCCTTTCTCCTGGGAAAGTTACCGGGGAGATTGCAACTCCACTGTTTGAGGCAGCCCATCAAGAACTGCAGTTTTTTACAGAGCCTAAAACCTGCCCATCCTTGCACTGCAGAGGACCACCAATGAGGAATCAGTTAGTTCTGCTCAGTTTCCTCTAGCCACATCATCTCAAAACAGGAAGGTTTTAGACGAGCAAGGAGTTCAGAGTCAAAAAGCATTCGGATGTGGTTCAAAACTAGATTGGGGAGAGTTCATGAGTGAGCTCCAGGGAACTCCTCCTGCGATACAGGAGAAACCAGGAATCCATCAATCTCTGTTAGGATCTGGATGGTTGCACAGTTGGACCATGTGAAGAGAGACTGAATGGGATGTCAATCAAGTTGTTTCTAACATGAAATCTGAAAACCTAGCCATACTAACAATGACATGGCCATTTCTGTCCTTCTCAAAACACCATCTTGTCACATTGAATTGGCCCATAAACACCACAGGATGGGGGTGCAGGGAGGCAACTCAATCAAATTCTGCCCAAAAATCACCCAAGGTTTGGTCTATAAAGGCCATAAAACACAATGAATTTCCAACTTAAATGATGCGACACTCTGGTCAGGAAGACCAAGACCAATTATGTGCCTAAAAAAACTGATGAAAAGGTGAAAATTGTGGGGTAGCAAATGACCAACTTTCCGCCATGTCTCCTGAGCTAATAAAACCTCCCAATGGCAAGGTCTCCTACCCCAGGTTTGACGGACTATCTAGGGTAAAGGAAGTTGAGTTTCTAACACCGTGAGGATTTCCAGAGGTGCTTAAGGGTAATGTATAAGTGAGGAGGGCCTTTTTCTTCGCGGCATCCCCCCAAACCCTGACTGTACCAAACAAAGACTTTTCATTTGGGGCCAACAATTTGATGAGCGGAGGCAGAACAAATGAGAGACCACCTTCAAGGTTTTCAGCCCAAGTGGCTATTAAGATATGGGTCGATTTGTGTGCGTTTCTTGATACAAATTAAATAGTATTTAACTACTTCTAGGAGATAGCAGACCATATACCACCAACTTCTTCTTCTTTTTAGTTGGAAAAATAGAAATTCCATTAATTGAGCAAATTTTGCAATACTAATTTTGGTCCTATAATTAGATATATGAGCATGTGACTATAAGCCCATATTTTTCTTCAAACATTGTAAATGTGGTAGACATTGGCCAAACACAGCTATAGCTAATATTGACCATCATTGGCAGCACTTGCATCTCAAAAACATGGGCTGCATCAAACCTTTCTGATTACATACAAAACCATGTCCATGTGTATACCTCCTGGAGAAAAGGGAAACAATAGATATAGGAATTGGGGTTGGGCTTGAGTGGCTAGCAGCTGACATTTAGCTTATGTATGTGCCATAAACAAGATCTTTAAAACATTCCATAACACCGAGAATCCAGCAATGAAGCGAAAATCATTTACGATTTCAAATGACAATTAAGAGTGGAGGGAGTTTGAATATATAGATCTAATAAAAGGATCAACTATAAATAAATCTAGACAATTTCACATATTCAGATCCACAAAAAGTGAACATTTCAGAGCTACAGCCAACCAATGCAGATAAAGGATCAATTAACAGTACAAAAAATCTCAGAACAGAGGCCTTTCATTTCCAACTGATTCAGAACTACGAATGATGAAGGAGTAATTTAGTGTTACAAATTCAACAAACAGATCAACTGTACATAAATTTTTATACACAAAGAGGATCAAACCCAAACGCACCTTGAAACCGGTCAATAATTTTCCAAGGCCGTTCCAGCACAGAATCCCCATCCCAAATCCTGTGACACCAAAACAAGTAAGATCACATCCCATCAAACTAAGGCCCAACGGTAGATAAGTTCACGAAATGCACGACCCTCTCGGGCGCATTGACGGAAGTCTCGAGAAAGCGACCTAGCTTCTTCAGAGAGAAATGAACACAATGAGAGAGGGCAATCCACCCAATCACTTCATAAAAAAACGAGGAGAACGCCGAATTCAAAGGCTCCTCCCAACCCGAATCCCACCCTCCTCCACCACCACCATAATTCCATCTCCCACCACCAAAAGACCCATCTCCATCACCAAATTTGCCATTATCAAAACCCTCACCACTGTTACCGTCATCCATGTCATGAACATGTGGTTTGCACTTCGTTTTGCGAGCTAGGGCCCGAGGAGCAGCTTTAAAGGTGCGACGCTTTTTTACGGGAGGAGGAGCGGCAGCATCAAGAGGAGAAAGGGTTGCGGAGATGGACGGAGAAGAGACGCCGGAAAAAGATTCCGGCGTCAAAATTTCTCCGGAATCGGAGCGGAGGAGAGAGAGTCTGAACTTACGATGACGTTGAGCTAGGGGATCCGCCGAGTAGAAAGAAGGAAACCCTAAACCTAGAAGGTGGTTAATGGCGGCAGAGGCAGCATCGTGGATTACCGGGAAATCCATCGGTCTCAAAATTTGGTGAAATCGTGTCTTTGCTTCTCAAACTCGTGACCGTTTGTCTCTCTTTCGCTTTTGGGTTTGTCAGTTGGTCGCTGATATTAAAATACAGCTCAGGCTCGGATCGGATCGGCTCGGCTCGGCTCGGCTGGGAGGAGGGAGGAGGCAGGTAGGTGGTGGACGCATCTGATGACACGTGGGTAACAGGGACAGGGTTGACCTGGCGGCCAAGAGATCCTACCGTCTGGAGTCCCGGTACCCGGTCCATCAATGTCACATTACTTTTATAGTCTCCCTCCGTTTGTTGAGAAAATGGAAAGGATTATATGTTTCCTCTGCAGGAGGAACGATACGTGCTTCCTTTTCATTGAGCGCTCCAATTTAAATCAAGGGAGCTACTAACCGTTTGATTTAGATTTGATTTTTTAAAATATTTTATTTTTAACTATTTTTATATTAACTATGTGAATATGAAATTTGGGACGTTACATCGTCTCAAAAGAGTACATCGAAATAAATATTAAAAAAATAATTTGATAACATATAATGACCAAAATACCTCTAAAACTTTCAATGGCATTTTAGTTATTTTATTGAGAATTTTATGTATATATATTTTTGTAGGTGCGAGTTCAAAAGAGGATTAGATGGTCAAATTTGGTGTAAAAATGTTTTGTATAAAAAATTTTTAAAATAAAATAGTATGAGGGTGACATTGTGATTGGGGTTATCTAAACTGTCATATTCGAATGGATGGTTGGATAGGGGAAAGGATAAAAGTTTTGAGTTGTAGGGGAAGCATAGAAAGCTTGCTCGTGAGAAAAATGAAGCTTTTCGGTGCTTCGGCCGATTCGGGGGAAGACTTCAAACTTTTTTTTTTTTTAATTTAGTTTAAATAAAGATATTTATATATAAGATATATATAAATAATGGAAAAAGATTTAAAGTTTAAATAAAAAAATTTACAAAATATAGCTATATAGCTATTTCTTTGCTGGCCGAATTAGATCTGAAGCATACTCGATGCAAACCCGAAGCGGTCCGAATTTGACCGAAGTAGCCTGAAGCGGTCCCGAATCTGATCGAAGTGGCAGCACCACACTTCGCTTCTCTTCGGTTTATGCCTAAAATCCGAAGGCCTCAGCCGAAGCGAGGCGAGTTTGATAACATTGCAAAATATACTAGAAGACCCGAATCCATACTTGAAAATATAATACGGGAATTGGACTTGGATCTAGGTATGAACCTGACCCAGACCCCGAATAATATTCGGGTCCAAATTTTAGACCATACCTGGACCCGATGTCGGGTCTAACTGTCAGTCCTAAGTCTGGTTGAGTCCATTGCCACCCCTACTCAATATTTTTGGACACTACTTTTTTATAAAAATATCTATCATACCCCTGCTAATTACGAAAAGTGCCCTTGTGAAAAAAAATTGTATGCAAAAAAAGAGTATATGAGTGTCAAAAAGAAAAAAAACAGTTGAATACGTTAAGGTACTCATGAGTACCCTAATATAATCCTTAATATATTTTAAAAATATGTTGAATATAGTGGATTGTATACGATGAGACCATTTACCTTTGATACAAGGAGGTTACAATTACTAACAACCATTTGATGTGAAATTTGATAGCTTTGGCATGTCACAAAGTTCGAAAAAAATTATTTTGAAGTTTGAGCTTGGTCAATGAAATAAATACAGTCATTTAATTTTATATCCAATGGTCAAGATTAATTGTGATCACTTTGTACCAAAGATAAAATGTCTCATTGTATATTTCTCCTAAATATATGTACGATTATTTAAATATTGTGATTATAAATATATAGTTATATTTATTTAAAGAAACAGTTTATATAGAGTCGAGGCTCTAAACAATCAAATTAGAGAGTACCTCAAAATTTTCACTAGAAGAGGTTGTTTTGATACCTAAATATCCTCAAATTGATCATCTCAATATCAATATGTATGAACATGAGAAAAAAATGAATTTCAAGTTTTAGAAGTAGTGTATCTTGAAATACATTTTTGGACTGTTAATTTTCAAGATTTTCAAGTTTTCATACCAGCTCGATCTACACTATTTTTGAAGCATTAAATTTTATAATTAGAGATGAATATATATTTTAAGGTTATCAAAACTATTACCAGTATTGAAACCACAATTCTCGATAGTCTTTAAAGATGGCTCTACTTTGATTGTTTAGAGCTCGGCTCTATACAAACTGCACCTTTTATTTAAATACCATATATTAAATATTATTTAAATATGATCACTATTCGGGTCTGGTCCGGGTCCAAGAATACCATTTGAGTCTAGGTTCGGGTCTAGATAGACTCGACCTGATGGGTCCAAATTTTGGGCCTATATTTGGACCAATGTCGGGTTTACCCATCAAGTCACAGGTCAGGTCGGGGTCCATTGCTAACTCTAGACCAAACCTTATTTTCCCTCTTCTTTCTTGTTTGACAAAGGTTAAAGTAAGGGTAAGGTTTTTTTTTTTTTTTTAAAAAAAAGCCTCATCTCAAAACTCACTAAAAATTATACTTGAGACTATGACAACTTTGAACAAGCATACATGGCTTTGAGCGTCGCGTAAAACTGCAGTTACACAATGATTTTGTTCTTATGTCAGGGAGCATTTAGTTTAAGGGATTGTATACTATGAGTTTGTTTATCTTTATTACAAGGAGGTCATAATATTTTGGCCATTAGATGTTAAATTGGATGATTTCAGTTGTGTTATAAAGTTTGAAGTTTCTTTTTTTCAATCTTTGAGACTACTCAATAACACTTTTACGACCATTGAATTTGAAATCTGACAATCAAGAGTGATGATCTCTTTCTTGTACCAAAAGTAAATGATCTCTTTACAATTTTTTTTTAAATTTAAAAACATAGAATAATATAAATAATATATGCTAATAGGTAAAGGAAATGTATATGATGAGACCATTTACTTTTGATACAAGAAAGTCATAGTCATTGTCAACTGTTGGATATAAAATTGGATGGTGGTGGTGTATCACTAATTGAGCAGAAATTTCGAAACAAGATTTCTCGAAAGTTGTGACCTTCTTTATGTAAAAAATGAATGGTCTTATAGTATACAATTCCAATTGTAAAATATGTAAATAATGTCGTTATTTATGGGAATGTTCTTTTTCAAAAAACAAACTAGTAGTTCCTCAAATATATGTACCAATTTGTTTTAGGGAAAATTTTGTATAAAACCCTAATTCTTCGTATTATTTCATGGTAGACCCTTCTTTTGTTTTTCTTTCAAGTAGCATTAGAAAACCCCGAAAGATTTCATAATACCCCCTTGTCTCTTATCTCCCTCTTGTAATGACTTTTGATCATAAAAATTAGCTCCAACAAATCTTTTATACTATTTCAATCCAAAAACTTTTTTAATATGTGTGGAATAGGAAAAAGATGGTTAAAAAAGTTTTTGGGATGAAATGGTATAAAACGATTTGTTTGGGCTAATTTTTATGGTTAAAATCAATAAAAAAAGGGAAATAAGAAATGAGGGGGTATGGTGAAATCCTTAGGGATTCTTTATGCCGCTTGAAAAAAAAACGGAAAAATGGTCTACCATTAAATAATATGAGAAATTAAGGTTCTATAAGAAAATTTCCCTTTGTTTTACACTTATTTTCTCTCTCTTCATTTATTTCACTTTTTTTACGTGCTTTCTCATTTTCCACTCCATTTTTTCTTCTTCTTTTTTTTTTTTCGAGAAAGGTATATGTATATACTATTTAGGGAAAATAACGTGCATATCCGTTATTACATTTATATTCGTTTTTTTTCTTAAAATTCTTGTCATTTCTACCCACAATTACTTCTTTTTTTTTAAAAAAAAGAACGAGGTATCTTGAAATCTGAAATATAGAATTGTTTCTATATATTCTTCTACCTAGACAGTTGATACATGTCCAAGCCATTTACTCCTTTCTATACCTTATTAAATTTAAATTAAATGTCATTCATTATCAAACGACTGTATAATATATAATATAATACTTCGGACTTTGATAGTTATGTAGTATTCAAAGTGACCTTTCAAAGAAAAACTTCAAATTCGTAAATCCGAAGTTGTTTGTGTACTGTCGTTCAACATACAAACCTAAGATTTTGAAAAACTTGTTTATATATATGGGAAAATATCTCCTTGTCTCCCTATTTTTAACTTCCATATCTCATGAGACCTATAAATTAAAAATATTAGTTATAAATAAAAAGTCTCAATCTTTTCTATCTTACAACCCCTTGGACCCTTTTGATCATAAATTTTTTATCCAAACAAACATTAAAATGATACCCTCTCTCTCCCTCTAAAACTCCATCTCTCTCTTCGCTTCTATGTGGGTTTACCAGCCAAGGGGTTTAGCTTGAGCTCGAACATGAGCACACATTCTTATGTGTAAGAGAGAGATGGAGTTTTAGATAGACAGAGATGGAGTTTGGGTTTTAGAGAGAGATGTAGTTTTAGAGAGAGATGGAATTTGAGTTTTAGGGAGAGAGATGGAGTTTGAGTTTTAGGGAGAGAAATGGAGTTTTGAGAGAGAGAGAGACGATGATGTGAGAGATAGAGATGAAGTGTGGGTTTTAGAGAGAGGGAGTTTTGAGAGAGAGAAACGATGATGTTAGAGAGACGAAGTTTTAGAGAGAGAGAGATAGGGTCATTTCATAAGTTGTTGAGGTCAATAATACACGGTCAAAATGGTTTAGGGGGTTAGAAGATAGAAAAGATGGAATCATTTTGCTTACAAGTAATATTTTCAATTCTTGGTTCTAACGAGATATAGAAGTTAAAAATAGGGGATAATACCATATTGTTGAACTTGGTTTTTGTATAAGCTTTCAACAAAAACTTCGGAAGTTTAAAATATGAGGTCGTTCCTTCGTTAGACAAACTTAGGATTTTAAAAATCTAATTTTTTTTGTCCTCAATTGTTCCTCGTATTTTTGGCCCTGAAAGACACCTATAGGTCTTCGATAAACTTCAAACCTTCAAAATCCGACCCATGAACATTTTTATCATTTTAAAAAAATGGCAAAAAAAATTGGCTATCGTGTAATAACATTAAAAACAGAAGAACTCTTGAAATAAGCACTTCAGAGCATAATTAACAAGTCGGGAAATAATAAAATATGGGCCGATCAAAACAACACTAATAAATCGATTTTATTTCAAAAAGTTGGAGGAAGTATTGAGTGTAATAACATTAAAAAAAGAGAAACTATCGAAGTAGGTACTTTAGAGTATAATGAGGAAGTATTGAGTGTAATAACATTAAAAAAAAGAGAAACTCTCGAAGTAGGTACTTTAGAGTATAATTACTAAGTCGGGGAATAATAAAATGTTGGTTGATCAAAACATTAGTAATAATTCGATTTTATTTCAAAAAGTTGGAGGAAAAAATTTGGGTAAAAAACATATATCGCCAAAAAATAAGGTAAGTTATAAAATAGTGAATATTTCAGATTTGATTAAAAAAAAAATATAGTGAAAAAATCGAATATGTAAAGATGACACAATATAAGATTATGATTTGCAGGTATTATATATATATTAAAACCATCAAACAATAATTTTATAGCTTTACTAGTGCCATAAGAGTAATACTTAACAATTTTTTGTTAAACTTTCAATAAATCCACTAGCAATGTTTGCTCTGTTGTCACATCACAAAACATATCGTACATTTATTGGAAACATAAAATGAAAGAACAACAACACTAAATACAAGAACTAATCAACAAATAATAAGAACTATGAATCGGTATAGGATTTTTTTTCAAAGAAAAAAAAAAAAACTCCTCCACTATAGGTTTGATGTTAATTAAAATAAAACGCAAAGACCCAAATGGGTCAAATAGTGGTCCATCCAAAATTTCATGTTGTATATTCCGATGAAATAAAAAATAAAAAATAAAAATGAAATTAATCAAGCTTTTCTATGCATAAAAAACAAGAAAATATCTTCAAATTGATCATCTCGACATCAAGATGTATAGATATGATAAACAAATAGATTTTAAGTTTTGAAAACAGTACATCTTGTAAAGCATTTTTAGACCGTTAGTTTTCAAGATTTTCAAAATTTTATAGATATGCTCAATCTACAATATTTTTGAAGCATTAAATCTTATAATTAAAGATGAAAATATATTATAAGGCTATTACAAATATTTTCGAGAAACCACATTTCTCGACACTATTCAGGTGCAGTTTACTTTGATTGTTTAGAGCCTCGGCTCTATACAAACCAAATTGGCTTTCATTCTCCATCACGGTCCAACCGATTGATTTGACGGTGATGACCATTACGTCAACAATGCATGTAGTGGTCATTACCAATTACTAATCATAGTCTGCTTCAGTATAACTAATTCTGATATCCAGGCGAATAGTCCGTTGAGAAACAAGAATCTCCTCCTCTCTCCACCAATAATCCTCTCTCCACCAATAAAGCATGGAGCAACTGAAGGTAATCTCTCGCCGTTATATCTCCTAAAACATTGAATTATGGCTATAGGAAAAACATGCAGAACTGCCTTAAACCATATAGAAACCTCCAGCGTAGGTTTCAAATTCATTTCACTTCAATTTATGGAATATTTTTTATTTGGTGAGTCAATGCAGTAAACTTTGGGTTGCGAAATGTATATTCTGTTTTTTTTTTTTGTTTTTTTTTTTGCTGTTTCCCCATGAATGAAAAATGAGGAACAGTTGCAGAAGTTTTTAATCCTAAATTGGAAGTGTTGCCGGATTGAATTCGCATCAAATTGGAAGGACAATAAACCCTAAACACTTGAATGAATCCCATGGCTTTCGATCCATATGAACACATGATGATGAATAACTGGACTTGTTTAATGAATTCTCAAGAATTGTTACCCAGGACTTAAAAGTGTTATTACATTCTGTACAGAGATAAGGCTTACATATTCTATGACTTCAAATTTGCAGTTTGTCCTGCCTTCTTCCTCTTCCTCTTCCTGTTACTACTCTGCTATGGCTGTTCCTTTGGTAATCCCTGCATCATCCACATTGGCCTTTTACTGCAAAACTCGGGGCCGGTTGCGCCCTTTTGGCATTACGCAATCAAGATTGGCCATACCACAACGCACCGACCTTTTATCTGTGTCGGCAATTTGGGACGCTTTAACCGGTGGAGGTGCTGCTCGAGAAGCTTCAATGGCTATAAGACAGGGAATGCAGCTATTCAGACAGGTGGTTGCCCCTTGCACAATCCTTTTTCTCTCTACTTTCCTATTCTATATTGCATAAATGAATGGGGGCTGCTACATCTGTAGACACATTAGTTTTTTATCAATGAATCTCTGCACGGTTGCTCCTCTCTGTCTACTGTTCTATTTTCTCCTCCAGTCTTGAATAGCTGCCATTAAAAGTTGCTAAATCTCTGGACCCATTTGTTTTCTATCAATGAAGGGTGATGTTCAGGGGTCCTTGGATGCATTTGATAAAGCAATTGAGCTGGATCCTCGCCAGAAGGCATGTAAGTAAAGGGGTTTTATGGTCCTTGATGGATAGTTGATTGCGTTGTCATCAATTTCTGATTAACCAAATATTTTGCCGAGTTCTTTCTTGAGCTTTCCCAACCAACTTGGCTCAGGAGAAGTCCCATTCTGTAGTGTGTGCATGTGCTCAGTGACAATCAGGCTTGTTATAATTGGAAAGTGTACAAATATATTTTCACTCTCTCTTCTGAGACTCAATGTGTTCCATCTCTTTGTAGTCATTGATCAGCCGTAACCTGTCACTTGAGTTCTCTTCAAGGAGAACATGAAGCCTTTTTGTGAGTCAATATTTAAGTTCCAATTGGCTTTCACGATTGTTGAAGGCACTAAGCTTCCTGCTGAAAGCCATTCTTATTGGATTCTATGAAGTGTTTCTTTCTCTTTATTTCCTTCTATAATTTCCTGAATTTGAAGACTTTGCCACTGTGTCTGTCTAGGAAACTCCTCTGGGAAGGAGTAGAAGCAGAGGAGTTGTCATTTTTAAGTGGAAATTCGTGCTTTGGTTTTACTTTTTAAAATGGGATGCCCTCTTCCAGTATGATGTCCTGGTTACTAAGTTTGGAAGGGTAGAGAAGTAATTTACAGATTTATTTTAACTCTCTCTCTCTCTCTCTCTCT